CACATGCCGGGGCCCCTATCTGTGCGACACGCAGAGTATCTGGGAAACAGGTGCTTAGGCATTTCGACAGATTGTTACACCCGAGCGGCTCTAGTGGTTGGCCTCAGTAGCCGTGTCCCCAGCAAGCTAAACTGAAACATATTCCCGATAACGAGGAGCTCAACATCAGCACCGTCGCCCAAAGTCAGAACTTCGCGGTCCTCCACCCTGGGACTTGGACTGCCAAAGTGTTCCTCGAAGCCTTCACCACGTCATTGCAACTGACCGTGCGGCGTTCTCAGTTGTCTGAGAGGCTGCTGCAAAGCAGCCCTTGCGGAGCACGGCCTTGCTGGTAGGTGGACATACGCATGCTCACAGGAATGGTTTTGCCCCCAACCCACAAGTCGGGCCACATGCTCGAGACGGCCTCGACACACCACCTTGGACAAAGTGGACATACGCATGCTCAGAGGAATGGCGTTGCCCCCAACCCACAAGTCGGGCCACGTGCTCGAGACGAGAGGTCACATGTCGTCTTCCAATGTCCTCCTGCGTGTGCAAAGAAACCAGCGACCAAGCCACGGACCCTGAAGGAAGAGCGCGCACTGCGCGCTCCCGGACTCAACGGACTCAACGGACACAACGGTCTCAACACCCGCTTGTGAAATGTTCAAACGAAGTTCAACCCGAAACGGCAGCCTCGATCCCCCAGGCGAGCACCAACATGGCCCGCGGCGCGCCCGCGCTCCACAAGGTGAACTCTTTTCTCTAGCCTGATTCTTGACCGCGCTGAATCGTCCGAACTGAGCAGCGTGGACTCGAGATGCTCGAGTTGAAGATCTGCGAACACGCTGCAGAACAAAAAAGCACAGCTCAACGGCAGTTGTGTGCTACTTGGCCATGGCCTGGCGGCTGCCAAAATCTAGACTCAACATGTACTCCGAATCGGGGAAAACGCCGGGAGCAGACTAGCCGACCATTGGATCCCATCATTGTATAAGCGCTTCTGTAGGAGATGCTGCAATTTGTACTAGTAGGCTACTTTTGATCTGAGAACCCAGCAGAGTTAGGACTTCCCAGGTTTGGGCTCCGGTGACCTGGAAGCACCCAAAACGCACGCAACGAGAAGGGCAAGAGGTGCAGTGCAAGCTGGTTGGCTTCGATCTGGCTGGGACCCTTATGCCAGGTGACTCAGGAGGACCGGCAGCACATGTGGCTCCTCTGCGGGCAAACGAAGAAGATGTACGATTAGCTGACCGATGGCTCCCGCGTCTCTGAAGGTCGTTGGATTTTTCGTGCCAGCGCGACTTGGCTCATGTGCTCGAGGCGCTCACAGGCAGCGCAGTGCTTCGAAAGCGGCGTGCAAACGACTTCCTGGCAAGAGGTGCATGGCGGGACCTGCACTGAGGCGAACTGCTAATACACCGCAGCCCCACACCTAACAAGGCAAGTTGTGAAAACAGAAGCTTGACGACCGCGGAAGCCAAAGATTTCACACCGAGCTTCGGCCCACTGGAACCCTAAACCCTAAACCCTTGCGCCTTTCGCCTTTCGTCCAGGAACCCCCTTGAAACCCTCAGCTCTGAAACCAAAGCCTGAAAACAAAAGCCCTAAGCCCTTGAGAGCCACAGAAGTTTCAGTGTACAGCCTTTCGAAGAACCCCGACAGCCTGCGACAATGAAACGGCAGAGCACGTTTGACATGCGAGGTGGGCAAGACGCATCCAGACACGGCAAACGGTTCAGTACCATGGCATCTTAAAGAGTCTGAAGCTGTTCAAGCGTGTTGGTTCACAATGGGGTTTCGTTGCAGATGCCACTGTGGTTTGAGTAATTCGAGGAACCGGGGTAGAGGCAAAAAAAAGAGAAAGGCAGAGGCCTTGCGGCCTTGCACACGGGAACTCGACACGGGAAGCGAGAGCTTGGTCGCCCTTGCGGCCCTTGCGTCAAAGAGGCACATGTGAAATAGAAGTCAGATGAGTCAGAGATGAGTCAGATTTTCATTTGAACCACCCAAATTCCCACAAAAACAACGCCTCAGTTCAAGCTTCTCGGCCTTGAGATTCTATTTCACTTAACGCTCACGGAATCTCACTCGTGTGCTGCATGGATGAGCATTCACGAACCAAGGGCGAATCAGCAACCGAATCTAGTTGAGGTTCCACATCCAACGTTCGTGCGGTCAGGACTAAGCTGATCCGTCTCAAATACCGTGCTCCGTGAATTTGAAACACCTGGCCCTGAAATGGCAAGGGTACAGTCAGTCTGCGGAACACTCCGAGTATGCTCAGTCTACTCCGAGTGAGATGCGGCTCGAAACGAATGATGCGGAGTAGCATCGAGACAGCTATAAAAACAGCTAAATGTTGCTTGCCTGAAAAATTCGTGCTGAGAACTGAGGCAACGAGTGAAGTGGTTGGGAAAGGTCGCTGTAGGCAGCGTGTGCAAGCTCTGTGCGAGGCCTGGGAAGCGTGCCCCGGCATTCCATCCAAAGCCTCAAGTTCTAGGAAATCGACCCTAGGCTCCGTGCTGGTGAGTCACAGCAAAGCCAAACTCAACTGCCTCATCACGACAAAACGAGAGCTAAGTTACACATGGCATCTTTGTGAGGACGAGTCACTGCATTTACTCTGTGCACCTAGGGGCTACCTGGCTACCTGCGGGCCGCCGGCCACAAGATGTTAACAATCCGTGGACATGCACTTCTGCTTCGCGGCGCCGGAACTTGGAACGGACCTAGAACTAAGCCCTCAGCTTAAACGAGAAGTACAAGCGTCAGACTCTTCAGAGTCTCGTAGCACAGCACACTTCCTTGGCAGCCAAGCCGAACATATTGCTACAAGCGCTTGGGGCCTCGTCCTGCGATGTGAGTATCAGCCCACATGTGTCACGGTGTCACGACACTGTCACGGCTCATGCTTTCTGCAGTTCCTCTGCAGTTGGGGATGCTTGCAGATCGGGTGATATTCGTGGCGTTGCATGTCCTGTCCACTCGCTCAAAGTAGTGCCTCGGCTGCTCTGCGAACCAGGGAAGTGTCCCTAAGCCTCTTGATTTGGGCATTGTGTGAGGGCATCAGCCTGGCTAGATCCTCCCAGCAACTTTCGGGCACATGTTGTCAGCAAGCAGATCGCTGCTCAACAGCCGGGCAAGCACAAATGCTATTCGGTCGGAGTCATACCTTGGTCTTGCCCCCCCACAGGCACAGGACAAACACGCACTGACATGGCGCTGAGGCGCTACCAGGGTTGAGGTTCAGAAGCAGCAGAAACTCCGGGAAGAATCTGAGTCATGAGAGCCACCGGCCTCTTCAAACCCGAAACCACCTAAAGCCAAACTGCGCTTTGGTCAGCTTGGCTTTCAAGACATCAGAAAAAAGGAAGTCAAAAAGAGTCAGAGCAGCACCAGCCTGAGCGTAATTGGAGGCCATATTTACAGAGGCCTCGCCTCGCCTCGCACTCACAAACTTGTCTTAAGTGAGGTGAGAGGAGTCCTTGTGATGTCTTTAAAAGGGATCGTAAGCACAGATCGCACAGAGGCCAGGCCGGTTCCGGGTGAGGGACCTTCTTAATTGCACGTCCTTCGGCGTAAGCTGCGCGCTCCGTTATACCAAAAAGAGCGTGCCCCCTTCACACAGCATTGATGCACGGGGAGCCTGTCATGACCCACGGTTGAAAGGGAGGCAGTGTGCCAGCTTAGCCTCTCCTGGCACTAAGCCTGGTCCCCATGCTCACCGCCTGCACATGAAAGTGCTGCTCCCTCGTTATCTGATGTTTCAATGATCCGGGCTTCGACCAAGTGCGTGCCATAGTCAGGGTCAGAAGTAGCCGCAACAGCTTATCCGCTCCGAAATTGTCGCAGAGCACCTGCCTTTGTCCGCATCACTTCACATGCCCACAGCGAGACTGAAAGTATGGTCCGAAGGAAATTGCAGCAGGCTTCATGTCTTCGCCCCGTGGGGTGAGCGACCTTGCTTGTGGTCTACCCTCCTACTTCACCTACAAGTCCGGCATAGTTGCAACCTGAGCATGTTCAGAGCGAGGAGTCGTTTGACGCTTAGTTTGCAAAGGCATTCGCCGTGAACTGTTGAACCGTACAGAAACCAGCCAGCCGCAAAACTGGGAAAACCACCAGCCTTAGCGGCCTTAGACTTTGGATCTGTCCGGCTCTGTCCACCACACGTGACATGTGACATGTGAAAAGCCTTAGCGGTGCGAGCCGTGCAGACACTTATCTGCCTGGGGAAGTGCGGATCTTGTGGCCTCTAAGGATCACATCGGCTTTATACAGCATAATTACAATTTAGTTTAATCGTGTTGAACTTTTTGGCCACCTTGGTGCGGGGCGGCTGCTCTCTGCCGCGGAGGTGCGCGCAGGGCAAGCTTGGATGGTACGAGGAACGTCGCGACTCCACGGCCCCGGGCAGACGGTCACATACGGTGACTTTCCGTGCCAATGGATTTGTATCTGAACCGCACCACGGCCCCAAGCCCGACTTCTCTCGGGCACTGGCCTTGCGAGCCTTGCGAGCCCCGCGAGCCTCGCGAGCCTAGGCGGGCAGCGGTGTGACTAGGACTGACCGGGTGTAGATGTTCGTCAAATCGGGGCACGTCCAATATCTCACCAAACCTCGCTCAGTCGCCCAGTGGATTCACTGGTACACCCGCTTCACTTAGACGTGTCGTGCGACTAGGCATGGCGAAGACTCGTCAGGTTGGCTCCAGGCAGTGTCCCCCCCGTTAGTCGCCGAGGCATCGATATCCCCGGTGTGTTCCCGGTGCAGGCCCCCGCTGCCGTGAGCGGTCAGAGAGAACGCAAAGAAGTTGGCTTAGCCCTGGGCCATCAGGAATGCGCTAACGGTGCGTGGCTAGGATCCGGGCAGTGCTTTGGAATGCGCTGCGCGCTACGCTACAGTGCTCTGGGATGTCGCGAAAGACTTGGCCAACTTTGGAAAACACTACTGTGACTACTGTGACTACTTGGGCTTCGAAGCCTCCCCGTGGTCCCTTTGTGTATCTACATACATGTTCGAATTCTTTGTGACGGCTCAGCGAGCGCAGCAGCAGAATGATGGTCTGCAACTCTCTGAACTGCCAGGATCTATGACTCTGCTCGCAGATGGTGAGGAGGTTCTCCTGGCAGTTTCCCCGGCACGGTTGGATCACGACCGCGCTGGGCATTGCTGGCCCTCTACAGGACTGCCGCACGAGTTCAGGCAGCCTCACACGCTGCGCGACACGCTGCGCGACGCTGGCTCCATGCTCAGTTCATGCTCAGTTCGTCGAATCGAGGGATGTCCAGGTCGAGTCGATATGAAGGGCACGTCATGCACATCCACACAGACTGTGTTGACTGTGTTGCAGCCCTCCTCGGTGCTGCGCGTCACAGGCAAGCCCGGGAGACTTTGAGGTGAGCGAGCACCGCCAGGCACGGCAAAACCGGCGCCCCAAGTCGGGGCGCCCCAAGCGGCGCAACCCCAACCGCCCCGAACCTGAGGTCACGCCTGAGGTCACGGATCAGCATTTGAGGCCCAGGCTTGGGCACGGGCCGCGAATGTCGCGAATCGCGGCCTTCAAGGCAGCCCATGCAACTGTGACGTGCCGTGACCCTGCAAGGCTCAAAGTCGGCTTAGATCTCAGTGCTCCCTTGGCTCCCAAAAGATCTCAGAAAGGCTACGAGACGATGCTTGCATCCTCGAGGCCGCGATCCGGGATTGTCACACAAGTGTCACAAGTGCCACGCACATTTGCCACTTGGCTGCAGCTTAAGTCCTCAAAGCCGTGCCTAATTTGGACGGAACATAGAACGGACCAGGCAAGCGTCTGCATCTAAGCAATCTAGGCGAATCGTGTGAGGGGGCCTGGATGGGCCTGGGCGCCTTACATGGGCCCCAATCCCGGCATCTAATCTGCGCCACAGGCCCGGCTTCAGGCCGTTCGTGGGCCATCGCGGGTGGTCAGTCCACGGTTTGGCGAGAGCACGCTCGAGAGCACGCTCCCAAAGGCACAAAGCCAAGGAACACCCACAACACAAGCATCAGGTCCCAACGATCTCCACCACCCTGCAACGAACTCAGGTCGGGACGCGGGTGGCGCGCCTCATGCACACTTTACGGCTTTCGCGCATGTCACGTCCCAAGCTTGCAATGCCTGGCAATGACGGAATGACGGCGTTGCGAGCGCAGTGCGGGGCCTACCTGACAGTACCTGACTATGGCAGCATCGTTCTGGCTATGGCCGTCGGTCCTGCAGCTTGCTCGAACTGGCTCGAACGTGTCTTAAGCTTCAGGGAGGCAGCAGGCCATGCGGAATCCACCAAGTGAGCTGTGAGACACCGTGCATAGCGTGCAACGCCATGCAACACCCGTACTCTCCTGCACGATTCTGCACATTATCAGTCGGCCTGTCTTAAGCCCATGACGCCCATGAAAGGAACGGCGGGCGCTGGATCGTGGATGTGGGAGTCCGCCATGCAAGCCTCCCCTTCACTGAGAGAGAAATTAGAGGGAGCGCAGTGAGAGCGGCGGTGGCAGGCTTTCCTTGTGCCTAGAACCCCAGAACCCTCGGATGCTCCCGGATGCTCCCGGTCGTCCTGTCGCTCGCGCTCGGGTGCAAGTCAGCTTGGACGCAGCAAGGCTCTGAAGGACCTATCGGAGGTTCTGCCGAAGGCTGTCTGGCAAGAAGGACAAGCTCAAGGTCAGACTCCGGACTCCACACTGCAAGCACTGCAAGAAGTTCCATGGCAAAGGGTAAGCCGGAAAAGCCGACCACCCTCAGCACCTGGCATGTCCTGACACCACGGCGAAGCAACTTGGAAGAAGCTCTCAACAGCTTCGCGCCTGCCGTGGCACCCCGGCTGCGAGTCAGAGCGCAGGGAATGCTGGTATTTTCATATGTGTTCTCATGCGCTTTCCCTCCACTCCACAAGCTAGGCTTTTGCCAGCGACCAAACCGCTCGCTCCACTCGTGATGGCTGCTTTCGCGGGCCAGCGTGGGCTGCCACCTGACCCGTGCGCTCTGCAATGCTCTGCAATGCTCTGCCCTGCTCTGCAATGCTCTGCAATGCTCTGCAGCAATCTGCTGTTCCCGGACTCAACTTGGCAGCCTGCATCTGAGGACCATGGACATACAGCCAGCAACAGCGTGCTGGCACATGCTGGCATGGCTCTAACGCGCTGACTTCCGGAGGAGATTCCTTAGCGTTGAAGCGGCTTTCGATGACATGCAATGCAAAACCGAGAAGGCCTGCCTTTCCAGAGTCTGCTCTGCCACCCCAGGGCAAAGCAAGCACTCAGCGGAAGAAAAAAGCAAGACCCGCAAGACCCGAAAGACCCCAAGCGGTTCGAGTCAAGTCAAAGCCACTTCGAACTCAACGCCAGTGTGATGGCGTCGCAACTCCTCATAACTTGCCCCCGAATGCACCTACATGTAGGTGCGATCCCGCGCCCCCCCAACTTCAACCTGCACGTTGTATTCCCCCCTCTTCGTCGGGGCAGGGGTGGGCAGAAATAGTTCTGGAACTTTTCCAGAAAGATGCACGTTCGGGCACAGTGTTGAACCATTGTCGCGGCACTCATGGTTGAATCATGATACGCACTAGGATCATGACAAAGTGCCTTGCCAGACAGTCCCTGTTGCGGATTGACTTACCGCGCCAGTCCCCTGTTGTCAGAGGAATAGGTCCGGCACCAACCCCTAAAGAGGAGCGGCGACGACCCGCCCCTCCTCCAAAGACCCCATTCTTAAAGAGGGGGAATGCTTGGCGCATCTGTGGGGTTCCAGACATCTGAGCAAAGCTCCACGCGTTGCTTGGAGACGGCGATTGAACTCTGGCATGCCATGAGCCACTCGTCCGGACACCTCCGCAAAACACGCTACACAAATTATGCGACAGACCTGGCCTGCACACCCAGGCAGGCCCTGAAGCACCGCTCACTACCGCATGTCGTGATCCTGCCCCCAACCTACCATTGGCTGAACAGGACATAAGCGCTGTGCTTCGCTCTGAAACTGCGCGGAGTCGAAGCGGACGAGGACAAGAGCATGCGACCCCGCCTGGCCGGGCTACGTTGAGCATCTCTCACGTCCATTTCCCACCGTACTGGCTGTGAGAAGCCTAGACACATGCAGAGGCGACCTTTTGGCGCTTTGGCCCAACTCAGATGAGGGCCAGTACAACTAGACCAAGATCTGACAGTGCCGGAACATCCATGAATCTACGCGACCGGAGATGCACACGCCCAGCGGAGTCCAGCGACGATGCCTCATTGTTGACGCACGCAGCTCTACTGCATCAGCGGCCATCAAAACGTCCTCGTGAGCCAATGGCCGGAGTGTCGCTTTCAGGTGCTCCCGTCGCTTTACAGTGTTTTGGGGATCCGGTGCTGTGCTTGATGGACTAAGGTGTCGCTTTGGGATTCTTCGAGGAGACCCCCGACGAAATCGCCGCACACTGCTCTCTCATCTGGGGGGTGTCGCTTTGCAGGTGTTCTCGTCGCTTTGCAAGATTTCGCGCTTTCGTGGACGCCTCTTACAACACTACAAGCAACGGAATCTTGACACTTGCTCATGTGAATCCTGAGGTTCGCACCCTGCTTCAAGACATTCAGAAGAATCCGGAAGCGCCATAGAGAGGCAGCGCGTTGCGATCGGTGAAAGCCTGGCTGTCCTGTCCCTGAGCAGGGCATGATGGCTTCTGACGCTAACCCGCAATACGCAATGACAACAGTCACATCAAGGCATTAGCCGGAGCAGCTTCCCGAGAGGATTCTGCCGGTGCACCGCCCTGCCCCAGACCATGTCAGATCCAGGATCTCCCCCACCCCGGCGCCAAGGCCTGTGCAAGCATCGGTCCGGCAGGCACGGCAGCCCTCACTGCCCTCGCATGCCCTCGCTGCACGTCTTCGACGCGCAGAGGCTTCTCCAGGACAACTGTCTGGCACCCGCCTAGCATGTCCTGATCCTCCTGGCAGGCAGATTGCCATCGACTCAGCGGGACATCGGCGCGGTGCAGCGCCGTGTAGCGCCGTGCTGCATGGGCACACCTGGACCTGAATTCGTCTGAAACTGCTCGTGTCCCAGGTGGGAACGGAGCCCGGCTGCTCCTCAGCACCTGCGTACTTCTGCGTGGCCAAGAAAGATAACCGCGGCCCTTTCGGAAGTGGCTGTCAATCCACGGGCTCAGAAAAGTCAGCATGCTCAGTGTTTGCATCCAGCACAGGGTCTTAGCAATGTACCTCCGCAACCATGCCGACCATTTTTGCATGACCTGACCTGCTTCGTCCTTGAACGATACAAGGCAATGAGAGGCTGATGCGTTCGCTCTTGCAGCTCGACAGACTCGACAACTCTCAACCAAGCGGCACAGGGACGCGTGGCAAAGAGCCTTCAGACCCGCACATCAATTGATTCCCATAGTCGTCCACGGGAAGTCAGAAGAACAGAGACCCCCGACCTCACCTGGCATGTTCAGGGCTCTGAGTTCGCGCAAGCCCGTGTGGCCTCTTTTCATCATGAGCTGAAGTCCTTGAAAGAATACACATTCGGGGAAAGCAAACCGATGCTGGAGACACTGGTGGAGGCTCCAACCAGGACAGTCAGTTTGGGCAACGTCTTCATTGCGGGTCGATCGACTGCCTGGCTACTGTGCAACCTTCGCCAATTGCCCGAAGGCACAAGCCATCACCACTGTGAGGCACATTCGTGGCACATGCAACAAGGATCGCAGATTCTGCGGTTGAAGCCGTGCCCCCTGCCCCGTCCCGGAACCACGTCCTGCGAGCAGAGGGGCACAGGGCCGAGCAAGGAATGCAAGACCTTGCAGAGGTTGCACCCTGCATCGATGGCTCCCCATCCTCAACTGTTCGCCTTCTCATGAAAGGGCATGAGCGCTGCCTGGAAAGGCGCTCGGAAGCTAGCATCCAGAATCAAGCAACCTCCGGAAGCACGTGCACGGAGGCTAGAAGCCCTTTCCTACACCACGCCACTACGCTTACTACGCCCTACATGCCCTACCAAGCCTATCGCGACTGTCGGAAGCAGCTTCGCGAGATCGCCGAGCTGACTCGCGGCACTTCACGACTGCAAGGACCCCTCATTGTCCCACTTCCTTCTACTTCTGTCTCCAGAGCACAAAGCCTCATTGCAAAGACACTGTCAAGCCTGCAATCCCACAAAGCCACCATGTAACTGAGGCCAACCGGGTGGCCCCACTTCCAAACGTCACCCTCTGCTGGGCAATGGCTTGCCATGACATGCCATGCTGGGATGGCGCAAGGGCAGCCTTACACCGTGAGAAGCGGCCTGCCAGAGACTGTGAGAATCGTGAGACGTAGGCCCTGCAGCTAGACAGGGCTCCAGCGCACCGCCAGATCAGTTTGCCCGAGAGCACTTGTTTCGTGGGGCGTCGG